CGGCACGCCGGGTTGCGCTGCTCTAGTTACGTTCTGACACACCCACCGAGACGAACCATACCGGCGGAAACCCTCGGAAAGGCGTCCATGTCTCCCTCCTGTCGGCTGCCGACCGTAGCGCCCGTACCGCGGTTTCCGGCCCTGGCGATAGCAAGACGGGCTCGGAGGCGGCAACGCCGGGTTGCGCTGCTCTAGTTACGTTCTGACACACCCACCGAGACGAACCATACCGGCGGAAACCCTCAGAAAGGCGTCCATGTCTCCCTCCTGTCGGCTGCCGACCGTAGCGCCCGTACCGCGGTTTCCGGCCCTGGCGATAGCAAGACGGGCTCGGAGGCGGCAACGCCGGGTTGCACTGCTCTAGTTACGTTCTGACACACCCACCGAGACGAACCATACCGGCGGAAACCTTCGGAAAGGCGTCCATGTCTCTCTCCTGTCGGCTGCCGACCGTAGCGCCCGTACCGCGGTTTCCGGCCCTGGCGATAGCAAGACGGGCTCGGAGGCGGCAACGCCGGGTTGCACTGCTCTAGTTACGTTCTGACACACCCACCGAGACGAACCATACCGGCGGAAACCCTCGGAAAGGCGTCCATGTCTCCCTCCTGTCGGCTGCCGACCGTAGCGCCCGTACCGCGGTTTCCGGCCCTGGCGATAGCAAGAGGGGCTCGGAGGCGGCAACGCCGGGTTGCACTGCTCTAGTTACGTTCTGACACACCCACCGAGACGAACCATACAGGCGGAAACCCTCGGAAAGGCGTCCATGTCTCCCTCCTGTCGGCTGCCGACCGTAGCGCCCGTACCGCGGTTTCCGGCCCTGGCGATAGCAAGACGGGCTCGGAGGCGGCAACGCCGGGTTGCGCTGCTCTAGTTACGTTCTGACACACCCACCGAGACGAACCATACCGGCGGAAACCCTCGGAAAGGCGTCCATGTCTCCCTCCTGTCGGCTGCCGACCGTAGCGCCCGTACCGCGGTTTCCGGCCCTGGCGATAGCAAGAGGGGCTCGGAGACGGCAACGCCGGGTTGCACTGCTCTAGTTACGTTCTGACACACCCACCGAGACGAACCATACCGGCGGAAACCCTCGGAAAGGCGTCCATGTCTCCCTCCTGTCGGCTGCCGACCGTAGCGCCCGTACCGCGGTTTCCGGCCCTGGCGATAGCAAGAGGGGCTCGGAGGCGGCAACGCCGGGTTGCACTGCTCTAGTTACGTTCTGACACACCCACCGAGACGAACCATACCGGCGGAAACCCTCGGAAAGGCGTCCATGTCTCCCTCCTGTCGGCTGCCGACCGTAGCGCCCGTACCGCGGTTTCCGGCCCTGGCGATAGCAAGACGGGCTCGGAGACGGCAACGCCGGGTTGCACTGCTCTAGTTACGTTCTGACACACCCACCGAGACGAACCATACCGGCGGAAACCTTCGGAAAGGCGTCCATGTCTCTCTCCTGTCGGCTGCCGACCGTAGCGCCCGTACCGCGGTTTCCGGCCCTGGCGATAGCAAGACGGGCTCGGAGGCGGCAACGCCGGGTTGCACTGCTCTAGTTACGTTCTGACACACCCACCGAGACGAACCATACCGGCGGAAACCCTCGGAAAGGCGTCCATGTCTCTCTCCTGTCGGCTGCCGACCGTAGCGCCCGTACCGCGGTTTCCGGCCCTGGCGATAGCAAGACGGGCTCGGAGGCGGCAACGCCGGGTTGCACTGCTCTAGTTACGTTCTGACACACCCACCGAGACGAACCATACCGGCGGAAACCCTCGGAAAGGCGTCCATGTCTCCCTCCTGTCGGCTGCCGACCGTAGCGCCCGTACCGCGGTTTCCGGCCCTGGCGATAGCAAGACGGGCTCGGAGACGGCAACGCCGGGTTGCACTGCTCTAGTTACGTTCTGACACACCCACCGAGACGAACCATACCGGCGGAAACCCTCGGAAAGGCGTCCATGTCTCCCTCCTGTCGGCTGCCGACCGTAGCGCCCGTACCGCGGTTTCCGGCCCTGGCGATAGCAAGACGGGCTCGGAGACGGCAACGCCGGGTTGCACTGCTCTAGTTACGTTCTGACACACCCACCGAGACGAACCATACCGGTGGAAACCTTCGGAAAGGCCTCCATGTCTCTCTCCTGTCGGCTGCCGACCGTAGCGCCCGTACCGCGGTTTCCGGCCCTGGCGATAGCAAGACGGGCTCGGAGGCGGCAACGCCGGGTTGCGCTGCTCTAGTTACGTTCTGACACACCCACCGAGACGAACCATACCGGCGGAAACCCTCGGAAAGGCGTCCATGTCTCCCTCCTGTCGGCTGCCGACCGTAGCGCCCGTACCGCGGTTTCCGGCCCTGGCGATAGCAAGACGGGCTCGGAGACGGCAACGCCGGGTTGCACTGCTCTAGTTACGTTCTGACACACCCACCGAGACGAACCATACCGGTGGAAACCTTCGGAAAGGCGTCCATGTCTCTCTCCTGTCGGCTGCCGACCGTAGCGCCCGTACCGCGGTTTCCGGCCCTGGCGATAGCAAGACGGGCTCGGAGGCGGCAACGCCGGGTTGCACTGCTCTAGTTACGTTCTGACACACCCACCGAGACGAACCATACCGGCGGAAACCCTCGGAAAGGCGTCCATGTCTCCCTCCTGTCGGCTGCCGACCGTAGCGCCCGTACCGCGGTTTCCGGCCCTGGCGATAGCAAGAGGGGCTCGGAGGCGGCAACGCCGGGTTGCACTGCTCTAGTTACGTTCTGACACACCCACCGAGACGAACCATACCGGCGGAAACCCTCGGAAAGGCGTCCATGTCTCCCTCCTGTCGGCTGCCGACCGTAGCGCCCGTACCGCGGTTTCCGGCCCTGGCGATAGCAAGACGGGCTCGGAGGCGGCAACGCCGGGTTGCACTGCTCTAGTTACGTTCTGACACACCCACCGAGACGAACCATACCGGCGGAAACCCTCGGAAAGGCGTCCATGTCTCCCTCCTGTCGGCTGCCGACCGTAGCGCCCGTACCGCGGTTTCCGGCCCTGGCGATAGCAAGACGGGCTCGGAGGCGGCAACGCCGGGTTGCACTGCTCTAGTTACGTTCTGACACACCCACCGAGACGAACCATACCGGCGGAAACCCTCGGAAAGGCGTCCATGTCTCCCTCCTGTCGGCTGCCGACCGTAGCGCCCGTACCGCGGTTTCCGGCCCTGGCGATAGCAAGACGGGCTCGGAGGCGGCAACGCCGGGTTGCGCTGCTCTAGTTACGTTCTGACACACCCACCGAGACGAACCATACCGGCGGAAACCCTCGGAAAGGCGTCCATGTCTCCCTCCTGTCGGCTGCCGACCGTAGCGCCCGTACCGCGGTTTCCGGCCCTGGCGATAGCAAGAGGGGCTCGGAGGCGGCAACGCCGGGTTGCGCTGCTCTAGTTACGTTCTGACACACCCACCGAGACGAACCATACCGGCGGAAACCCTCGGAAAGGCGTCCATGTCTCCCTCCTGTCGGCTGCCGACCGTAGCGCCCGTACCACCGTTTCCGGCCCTGGCGATAGCAAGACGGGCTCGGAGGCGGCAACGCCGGGTTGCACTGCTCTAGTTACGTTCTGACACACCCACCGAGACGAACCATACCGGCGGAAACCCTCGGAAAGGCGTCCATGTCTCCCTCCTGTCGGCTGCCGACCGTAGCGCCCGTACCGCGGTTTCCGGCCCTGGCGATAGCAAGACGGGCTCGGAGGCGGCAACGCCGGGTTGCGCTGCTCTAGTTACGTTCTGACACACCCACCGAGACGAACCATACCGGCGGAAACCCTCGGAAAGGCGTCCATGTCTCCCTCCTGTCGGCTGCCGACCGTAGCGCCCGTACCGCGGTTTCCGGCCCTGGCGATAGCAAGACGGGCTCGGAGGCGGCAACGCCGGGTTGCACTGCTCTAGTTACGTTCTGACACACCCACCGAGACGAACCATACCGGCGGAAACCCTCGGAAAGGCGTCCATGTCTCCCTCCTGTCGGCTGCCGACCGTAGCGCCCGTACCGCGGTTTCCGGCCCTGGCGATAGCAAGAGGGGCTCGGAGGCGGCAACGCCGGGTTGCACTGCTCTAGTTACGTTCTGACACACCCACCGAGACGAACCATACAGGCGGAAACCCTCGGAAAGGCCTCCATGTCTCCCTCCTGTCGGCTGCCGACCGTAGCGCCCGTACCGCGGTTTCCGGCCCTGGCGATAGCAAGACGAGCTCGGAGACGGCAACGCCGGGTTGCACTGCTCTAGTTACGTTCTGACACACCCACCGAGACGAACCATACAGGCGGAAACCCTCGGAAAGGCGTCCATGTCTCCCTCCTGTCGGCTGCCGACCGTAGCGCCCGTACCGCGGTTTCCGGCCCTGGCGATAGCAAGACGGGCTCGGAGGCGGCAACGCCGGGTTGCGCTGCTCTAGTTACGTTCTGACACACCCACCGAGACGAACCATACCGGTGGAAACCCTCGGAAAGGCCTCCATGTCTCCCTCCTGTCGGCTGCCGACCGTAGCGCCCGTACCGCGGTTTCCGGCCCTGGCGATAGCAAGACGGGCTCGGAGACGGCAACGCCGGGTTGCACTGCTCTAGTTACGTTCTGACACACCCACCGAGACGAACCATACCGGCGGAAACCCTCGGAAAGGCGTCCATGTCTCCCTCCTGTCGGCTGCCGACCGTAGCGCCCGTACCGCGGTTTCCGGCCCTGGCGATAGCAAGACGGGCTCGGAGGCGGCAACGCCGGGTTGCGCTGCTCTAGTTACGTTCTGACACACCCACCGAGACGAACCATACCGGCGGAAACCCTCGGAAAGGCGTCCATGTCTCCCTCCTGTCGGCTGCCGACCGTAGCGCCCGTACCGCGGTTTCCGGCCCTGGCGATAACAAGACGGGCTCGGAGGCGGCAACGCCGGGTTGCGCTGCTCTAGTTACGTTCTGACACACCCACCGAGACGAACCATACCGGCGGAAACCCTCGGAAAGGCGTCCATGTCTCCCTCCTGTCGGCTGCCGACCGTAGCGCCCGTACCGCGGTTTCCGGCCCTGGCGATAACAAGACGGGCTCGGAGGCGGCAACGCCGGGTTGCGCTGCTCTAGTTACGTTCTGACACACCCACCGAGACGAACCATACCGGCGGAAACCCTCGGAAAGGCGTCCATGTCTCCCTCCTGTCGGCTGCCGACCGTAGCGCCCGTACCGCGGTTTCCGGCCCTGGCGATAGCAAGACGGGCTCGGAGGCGGCAACGCCGGGTTGCGCTGTTCTAGTTACGTTCTGACACACCCACCGAGACGAACCATACCGGTGGAAACCCTCGGAAAGGCGTCCATGTCTCCCTCCTGTCGGCTGCCGACCGTAGCGCCCGTACCGCGGTTTCCGGCCCTGGCGATAGCAAGACGGGCTCGGAGGCGGCAACGCCGGGTTGCACTGCTCTAGTTACGTTCTGACACACCCACCGAGACGAACCATACCGGCGGAAACCCTCGGAAAGGCGTCCATGTCTCCCTCCTGTCGGCTGCCGACCGTAGCGCCCGTACCGCGGTTTCCGGCCCTGGCGATAGCAAGACGGGCTCGGAGACGGCAACGCCGGGTTGCACTGCTCTAGTTACGTTCTGACACACCCACCGAGACGAACCATACCGGCGGAAACCCTCGGAAAGGCGTCCATGTCTCCCTCCTGTCGGCTGCCGACCGTAGCGCCCGTACCGCGGTTTCCGGCCCTGGCGATAGCAAGACGGGCTCGGAGGCGGCAACGCCGGGTTGCACTGCTCTAGTTACGTTCTGACACACCCACCGAGACGAACCATACCGGCGGAAACCCTCGGAAAGGCGTCCATGTCTCCCTCCTGTCGGCTGCCGACCGTAGCGCCCGTACCGCGGTTTCCGGCCCTGGCGATAGCAAGAGGGGCTCGGAGGCGGCAACGCCGGGTTGCACTGCTCTAGTTACGTTCTGACACACCCACCGAGACGAACCATACCGGCGGAAACCCTCGGAAAGGCGTCCATGTCTCCCTCCTGTCGGCTGCCGACCGTAGCGCCCGTACCGCGGTTTCCGGCCCTGGCGATAGCAAGACGGGCTCGGAGGCGGCAACGCCGGGTTGCACTGCTCTAGTTACGTTCTGACACACCCACCGAGACGAACCATACCGGCGGAAACCCTCGGAAAGGCGTCCATGTCTCCCTCCTGTCGGCTGCCGACCGTAGCGCCCGTACCGCGGTTTCCGGCCCTGGCGATAGCAAGACGGGCTCGGAGGCGGCAACGCCGGGTTGCACTGCTCTAGTTACGTTCTGACACACCCACCGAGACGAACCATACCGGCGGAAACCCTCGGAAAGGCGTCCATGTCTCCCTCCTGTCGGCTGCCGACCGTAGCGCCCGTACCGCGGTTTCCGGCCCTGGCGATAGCAAGACGGGCTCGGAGGCGGCAACGCCGGGTTGCACTGCTCTAGTTACGTTCTGACACACCCACCGAGACGAACCATACCGGCGGAAACCCTCGGAAAGGCGTCCATGTCTCCCTCCTGTCGGCTGCCGACCGTAGCGCCCGTACCGCGGTTTCCGGCCCTGGCGATAGCAAGACGGGCTCGGAGGCGGCAACGCCGGGTTGCACTGCTCTAGTTACGTTCTGACACACCCACCGAGACGAACCATACCGGCGGAAACCCTCGGAAAGGCGTCCATGTCTCCCTCCTGTCGGCTGCCGACCGTAGCGCCCGTACCGCGGTTTCCGGCCCTGGCGATAGCAAGACGGGCTCGGAGGCGGCAACGCCGGGTTGCGCTGCTCTAGTTACGTTCTGACACACCCACCGAGACGAACCATACCGGCGGAAACCCTCGGAAAGGCGTCCATGTCTCCCTCCTGTCGGCTGCCGACCGTAGCGCCCGTACCGCGGTTTCCGGCCCTGGCGATAGCAAGACGGGCTCGGAGGCGGCAACGCCGGGTTGCGCTGCTCTAGTTACGTTCTGACACACCCACCGAGACGAACCATACCGGCGGAAACCCTCGGAAAGGCGTCCATGTCTCCCTCCTGTCGGCTGCCGACCGTAGCGCCCGTACCGCGGTTTCCGGCCCTGGCGATAGCAAGACGGGCTCGGAGGCGGCAACGCCGGGTTGCACTGCTCTAGTTACGTTCTGACACACCCACCGAGACGAACCATACCGGTGGAAACCCTCGGAAAGGCGTCCATGTCTCCCTCCTGTCGGCTGCCGACCGTAGCGCCCGTACCGCGGTTTCCGGCCCTGGCGATAGCAAGACGGGCTCGGAGGCGGCAACGCCGGGTTGCGCTGCTCTAGTTACGTTCTGACACACCCACCGAGACGAACCATACCGGCGGAAACCCTCGGAAAGGCGTCCATGTCTCCCTCCTGTCGGCTGCCGACCGTAGCGCCCGTACCGCGGTTTCCGGCCCTGGCGATAGCAAGAGGGGCTCGGAGGCGGCAACGCCGGGTTGCACTGCTCTAGTTACGTTCTGACACACCCACCGAGACGAACCATACCGGCGGAAACCCTCGGAAAGGCGTCCATGTCTCCCTCCTGTCGGCTGCCGACCGTAGCGCCCGTACCGCGGTTTCCGGCCCTGGCGATAGCAAGAGGGGCTCGGAGGCGGCAACGCCGGGTTGCACTGCTCTAGTTACGTTCTGACACACCCACCGAGACGAACCATACCGGCGGAAACCCTCGGAAAGGCGTCCATGTCTCCCTCCTGTCGGCTGCCGACCGTAGCGCCCGTACCGCGGTTTCCGGCCCTGGCGATAGCAAGAGGGGCTCGGAGGCGGCAACGCCGGGTTGCACTGCTCTAGTTACGTTCTGACACACCCACCGAGACGAACCATACCGGCGGAAACCCTCGGAAAGGCGTCCATGTCTCCCTCCTGTCGGCTGCCGACCGTAGCGCCCGTACCGCGGTTTCCGGCCCTGGCGATAGCAAGAGGGGCTCGGAGGCGGCAACGCCGGGTTGCACTGCTCTAGTTACGTTCTGACACACCCACCGAGACGAACCATACCGGCGGAAACCCTCGGAAAGGCGTCCATGTCTCCCTCCTGTCGGCTGCCGACCGTAGCGCCCGTACCGCGGTTTCCGGCCCTGGCGATAGCAAGACGGGCTCGGAGACGGCAACGCCGGGTTGCACTGCTCTAGTTACGTTCTGACACACCCACCGAGACGAACCATACCGGCGGAAACCCTCGGAAAGGCGTCCATGTCTCCCTCCTGTCGGCTGCCGACCGTAGCGCCCGTACCGCGGTTTCCGGCCCTGGCGATAGCAAGACGGGCTCGGAGGCGGCAACGCCGGGTTGCACTGCTCTAGTTACGTTCTGACACACCCACCGAGACGAACCATACCGGCGGAAACCCTCGGAAAGGCGTCCATGTCTCCCTCCTGTCGGTTGCCGACCGTAGCGCCCGTACCGCGGTTTCCGGCCCTGGCGATAGCAAGAGGGGCTCGGAGGCGGCAACGCCGGGTTGCACTGCTCTAGTTACGTTCTGACACACCCACCGAGACGAACCATACCGGCGGAAACCCTCGGAAAGGCGTCCATGTCTCCCTCCTGTCGGCTGCCGACCGTAGCGCCCGTACCGCGGTTTCCGGCCCTGGCGATAGCAAGACGGGCTCGGAGGCGGCAACGCCGGGTTGCACTGCTCTAGTTACGTTCTGACACACCCACCGAGACGAACCATACCGGCGGAAACCCTCGGAAAGGCGTCCATGTCTCCCTCCTGTCGGCTGCCGACCGTAGCGCCCGTACCGCGGTTTCCGGCCCTGGCGATAGCAAGACGGGCTCGGAGGCGGCAACGCCGGGTTGCGCTGCTCTAGTTACGTTCTGACACACCCACCGAGACGAACCATACCGGCGGAAACCCTCGGAAAGGCGTCCATGTCTCCCTCCTGTCGGCTGCCGACCGTAGCGCCCGTACCGCGGTTTCCGGCCCTGGCGATAGCAAGAGGGGCTCGGAGGCGGCAACGCCGGGTTGCGCTGCTCTAGTTACGTTCTGACACACCCACCGAGAAGAACCATACCAGCGGAAACCCTCGGAAAGGCCTCCATGTCTCCCTCCTGTCGGCTGCCGACCGTAGCGCCCGTACCGCGGTTTCCGGCCCTGGCGATAGCAAGACGGGCTCGGAGGCGGCAACGCCGGGTTGCGCTGCTCTAGTTACGTTCTGACACACCCACCGAGACGAACCATACCGGCGGAAACCCTCGGAAAGGCGTCCATGTCTCCCTCCTGTCGGCTGCCGACCGTAGCGCCCGTACCGCGGTTTCCGGCCCTGGCGATAGCAAGACGGGCTCGGAGGCGGCAACGCCGGGTTGCGCTGCTCTAGTTACGTTCTGACACACCCACCGAGACGAACCATACCGGCGGAAACCCTCGGAAAGGCGTCCATGTCTCCCTCCTGTCGGCTGCCGACCGTAGCGCCCGTACCGCGGTTTCCGGCCCTGGCGATAGCAAGAGGGGCTCGGAGGCGGCAACGCCGGGTTGCGCTGCTCTAGTTACGTTCTGACACACCCACCGAGACGAACCATACCGGCGGAAACCCTCGGAAAGGCGTCCATGTCTCCCTCCTGTCGGCTGCCGACCGTAGCGCCCGTACCGCGGTTTCCGGCCCTGGCGATAGCAAGAGGGGCTCGGAGGCGGCAACGCCGGGTTGCGCTGCTCTAGTTACGTTCTGACACACCCACCGAGACGAACCATACCGGCGGAAACCCTCGGAAAGGCGTCCATGTCTCCCTCCTGTCGGCTGCCGACCGTAGCGCCCGTACCGCGGTTTCCGGCCCTGGCGATAGCAAGAGGGGCTCGGAGGCGGCAACGCCGGGTTGCGCTGCTCTAGTTACGTTCTGACACACCCACCGAGACGAACCATACCGGTGGAAACCCTCGGAAAGGCCTCCATGTCTCCCTCCTGTCGGCTGGCGATCGTAGCGCCCGTACCGCGGTTTCCGGCCCTGGCGATAGCAAGACGGGCTCGGAGGCGGCAACGCCGGGTTGCGCTGCTCTAGTTACGTTCTGACACACCCACCGAGACGAACCATACCGGCGGAAACCCTCGGAAAGGCGTCCATGTCTCCCTCCTGTCGGCTGCCGACCGTAGCGCCCGTACCGCGGTTTCCGGCCCTGGCGATAGCAAGAGGGGCTCGGAGGCGGCAATGCCGGGTTGCGCTGCTCTAGTTACGTTCTGACACACCCACCGAGACGAACCATACCGGCGGAAACCCTCGGAAAGGCGTCCATGTCTCCCTCCTGTCGGCTGCCGACCGTAGCGCCCGTACCGCGGTTTCCGGCCCTGGCGATAGCAAGACGGTCTCGGAGGCGGCAACGCCGGGTTGCACTGCTCTAGTTACGTTCTGACACACCCACCGAGACGAACCATACCGGCGGAAACCCTCGGAAAGGCGTCCATGTCTCCCTCCTGTCGGCTGCCGACCGTAGCGCCCGTACCGCGGTTTCCGGCCCTGACGATAGCAAGACGGGCTCGGAGGCGGCAACGCCGGGTTGCACTGCTCTAGTTACGTTCTGACACACCCACCGAGACGAACCATACCGGCGGAAACCCTCGGAAAGGCGTCCATGTCTCCCTCCTGTCGGCTGCCGACCGTAGCGCCCGTACCGCGGTTTCCGGCCCTGGCGATAACAAGACGGCCTCGGAGGCGGCAACGCCGGGTTGCGCTGCTCTAGTTACGTTCTGACACACCCACCGAGACGAACCATACCGGCGGAAACCCTCGGAAAGGCGTCCATGTCTCCCTCCTGTCGGCTGCCGACCGTAGCGCCCGTACCGCGGTTTCCGGCCCTGGCGATAGCAAGACGGCCTCGGAGGCGGCAACGCCGGGTTGCGCTGCTCTAGTTACGTTCTGAACACCCACCGAGACGAACCATACCGGCGGAAACCCTCGGAAAGGCGTCCATGTCTCCCTCCTGTCGGCTGCCGACCGTAGCGCCCGTACCGCGGTTTCCGGCCCTGGCGATAGCAAGACGGGCTCGGAGGCGGCAACGCCGGGTTGCGCTGCTCTAGTTACGTTCTGACACACCCACCGAGACGAACCATACCGGCGGAAACCCTCGGAAAGGCGTCCATGTCTCCCTCCTGTCGGCTGCCGACCGTAGCGCCCGTACCGCGGTTTCCGGCCCTGGCGATAGCAAGACGGGCTCGGAGGCGGCAACGCCGGGTTGCGCTGCTCTAGTTACGTTCTGACACACCCACCGAGACGAACCATACCGGCGGAAACCCTCGGAAAGGCGTCCATGTCTCCCTCCTGTCGGCTGCCGACCGTAGCGCCCGTACCGCGGTTTCCGGCCCTGGCGATAGCAAGACGGGCTCGGAGGCGGCAACGCCGGGTTGCGCTGCTCTAGTTACGTTCTGACACACCCACCGAGACGAACCATACCGGCGGAAACCCTCGGAAAGGCGTCCATGTCTCCCTCCTGTCGGCTGCCGACCGTAGCGCCCGTACCGCGGTTTCCGGCCCTGGCGATAGCAAGACGGGCTCGGAGGCGGCAACGCCGGGTTGCGCTGCTCTAGTTACGTTCTGACACACCCACCGAGACGAACCATACCGGCGGAAACCCTCGGAAAGGCGTCCATGTCTCCCTCCCGTCGGCTGCCGACCGTAGCGCCCGTACCGCGGTTTCCGGCCCTGGCGATAGCAAGAGGGGCTCGGAGGCGGCAACGCCGGGTTGCGCTGCTCTAGTTACGTTCTGACACACCCACCGAGACGAACCATACCGGCGGAAACCCTCGGAAAGGCGTCCATGTCTCCCTCCTGTCGGCTGCCGACCGTAGCGCCCGTACCGCGGTTTCCGGCCCTAGCGATAGCAAGACGGGCTCGGAGGCGGTAACGCCGGGTTGCACTGCTCTAGTTACGTTCTGACACACCCACCGAGACGAACCATACCGGCGGAAACCCTCGGAAAGGCGTCCATGTCTCCCTCCTGTCGGCTGCCGACCGTAACGCCCGTACCGCGGTTTCCGGCCCTAGCGATAGCAAGACGGGCTCGGAGGCGGCAACGCCGGGTTGCACTGCTCTAGTTACGTTCTGACACACCCACCGAGACGAACCATACCGGCGGAAACCCTCGGAAAGGCGTCCATGTCTCCCTCCTGTCGGCTGCCGACCGTAGCGCCCGTACCGCGGTTTCCGGCCCTGGCGATAGCAAGACGGGCTCGGAGGCGGCAACGCCGGGTTGCACTGCTCTAGTTACGTTCTGACACACCCACCGAGACGAACCATACCGGCGGAAACCCTCGGAAAGGCGTCCATGTCTCCCTCCTGTCGGCTGCCGACCGTAGCGCCCGTACCGCGGTTTCCGGCCCTGGCGATAGCAAGACGGGCTCGGAGGCGGCAACGCCGGGTTGCACTGCTCTAGTTACGTTCTGACACACCCACCGAGACGAACCATACCGGCGGAAACCCTCGGAAAGGCGTCCATGTCTCTCTCCTGTCGGCTGCCGACCGTAGCGCCCGTACCGCGGTTTCCGGCCCTGGCGATAGCAAGACGGGCTCGGAGGCGGCAACGCCGGGTTGCACTGCTCTAGTTACGTTCTGACACACCCACCGAGACGAACCATACCGGCGGAAACCCTCGGAAAGGCGTCCATGTCTCTCTCCTGTCGGCTGCCGACCGTAGCGCCCGTACCGCGGTTTCCGGCCCTGGCGATAGCAAGACGGGCTCGGAGGCGGCAACGCCGGGTTGCACTGCTCTAGTTACGTTCTGACACACCCACCGAGACGAACCATACCGGCGGAAACCCTCGGAAAGGCGTCCATGTCTCTCTCCTGTCGGCTGCCGACCGTAGCGCCCGTACCGCGGTTTCCGGCCCTGGCGATAGCAAGACGGGCTCGGAGGCGGCAACGCCGGGTTGCACTGCTCTAGTTACGTTCTGACACACCCACCGAGACGAACCATACCGGCGGAAACCCTCGGAAAGGCGTCCATGTCTCCCTCCTGTCGGCTGCCGACCGTAGCGCCCGTACCGCGGTTTCCGGCCCTGGCGATAGCAAGACGGGCTCGGAGACGGCAACGCCGGGTTGCACTGCTCTAGTTACGTTCTGACACACCCACCGAGACGAACCATACCGGCGGAAACCCTCGGAAAGGCGTCCATGTCTCCCTCCTGTCGGCTGCCGACCGTAGCGCCCGTACCGCGGTTTCCGGCCCTGGCGATAGCAAGACGGGCTCGGAGACGGCAACGCCGGGTTGCACTGCTCTAGTTACGTTCTGACACACCCACCGAGACGAACCATACCGGCGGAAACCCTCGGAAAGGCGTCCATGTCTCTCTCCTGTCGGCTGCCGACCGTAGCGCCCGTACCGCGGTTTCCGGCCCTGGCGATAGCAAGACGGGCTCGGAGGCGGCAACGCCGGGTTGCACTGCTCTAGTTACGTTCTGACACACCCACCGAGACGAACCATACCGGCGGAAACCCTCGGAAAGGCGTCCATGTCTCCCTCCTGTCGGCTGCCGACCGTAGCGCCCGTACCGCGGTTTCCGGCCCTGGCGATAGCAAGACGGGCTCGGAGACGGCAACGCCGGGTTGCACTGCTCTAGTTACGTTCTGACACACCCACCGAGACGAACCATACCGGCGGAAACCCTCGGAAAGGCGTCCATGTCTCCCTCCTGTCGGCTGCCGACCGTAGCGCCCGTACCGCGGTTTCCGGCCCTGGCGATAGCAAGACGGGCTCGGAGGCGGCAACGCCGGGTTGCACTGCTCTAGTTACGTTCTGACACACCCACCGAGACGAACCATACCGGCGGAAACCCTCGGAAAGGCCTCCATGTCTCCCTCCTGTCGGCTGCCGACCGTAGCGCCCGTACCGCGGTTTCCGGCCCTGGCGATAGCAAGACGGGCTCGGAGGCGGCAACGCCGGGTTGCACTGCTCTAGTTACGTTCTGACACACCCACCGAGACGAACCATACCGGCGGAAACCCTCGGAAAGGCGTCCATGTCTCCCTCCTGTCGGCTGCCGACCGTAGCGCCCGTACCGCGGTTTCCGGCCCTGGCGATAGCAAGACGGGCTCGGAGGCGGCAACGCCGGGTTGCACTGCTCTAGTTACGTTCTGACACACCCACCGAGACGAACCATACCGGCGGAAACCCTCGGAAAGGCGTCCATGTCTCCCTCCTGTCGGCTGCCGACCGTAGCGCCCGTACCGCGGTTTCCGGCCCTGGCGATAGCAAGACGGGCTCGGAGGCGGCAACGCCGGGTTGCACTGCTCTAGTTACGTTCTGACACACCCACCGAGACGAACCATACCGGCGGAAACCCTCGGAAAGGCGTCCATGTCTCCCTCCTGTCGGCTGCCGACCGTAGCGCCCGTACCGCGGTTTCCGGCCCTGGCGATAGCAAGACGGGCTCGGAGGCGGCAACGCCGGGTTGCACTGCTCTAGTTACGTTCTGACACACCCACCGAGACGAACCATACCGGTGGAAACCCTCGGAAAGGCGTCCATGTCTCCCTCCTGTCGGCTGCCGACCGTAGCGCCCGTACCGCGGTTTCCGGCCCTAGCGATAGCAAGACGGGCTCGGAGGCGGTAACGCCGGGTTGCACTGCTCTAGTTACGTTCTGACACACCCACCGAGACGAACCATACCAGCGGAAACCCTCGGAAAGGCCTCCATGTCTCCCTCCTGTCGGCTGCCGACCGTAGCGCCCGTACCGCGGTTTCCGGCCCTGGCGATAGCAAGAGGGGCTCGGAGGCGGCAACGCCGGGTTGCGCTGCTCTAGTTACGTTCTGACACACCCATCGAGACGAACCATACCGGCGGAAACCCTCGGAAAGGCGTCCATGTCTCCCTCCTGT